GGAGGTTCGGGGAGGGAGGGGGAAGGTGTGCAGTAGGAGGAACGAGGTTCAGGGAGATAACGGGGGGGGTGGGAGGTTCGGGAAACGGGGCGGGAGAGGGAAAGATGGGGGGATAGGAGGTTCCGGGAGATTGATTGATTGATTGATTGATTGATTGATTGATTGATTAATTGATTGATTGATTGGTTCATTCAACTTCATTGGTTGATGGATTGATTGATTGATTGATTGATTGATTGGTTGCTTGCTTGCTTGCTTGATTAATTGATTGATTGATTGATGGTGTGATTAATTGATTTCTGTGGACAGATGGGAGGATGGGGATAGAGAGTGGAGGAGGGAGAGCGTTGAGGGGTAGGGGGTGGACTGGCTTTAACAACTGCTGTTTTTTTTTTTTTTTTGTGTTTGTCTGTGAACAGGATGACGAAAAACCACAGCGAGTCCGTGAAGAAGCACTTCACGGAAGTGGGAATTCGTGGCAAAGCTGAGAAGGGAAACAAGAAGCGCTGTACACCCCCCCTGTGTCTTTTTTTTTTTTTCTTTTTTTTTTTTGGGGTCCGGACATTTTCTGACCCCCTGGCACCGGTCCGGACTGTCCTGTGTCCGGTAGTGTCCGGATTACCGGACAGTCCGGATCGGTCCAGACACTGGTCCGGAATATGCTCCGGAAGTGTCCGGTGTCCGGGTCCGCGGTTACCATGATTACAACATAGAGAAGTTGCAGGACTTCGAGAATTTGAAAAGCTAACGAGGGTTTGACGAAACCCACACTGGTGTGCCCGAAGCATATCACAGATTCACTACCGTCTTCCTCCGCATGCAACGCGCCCTCATCATGATCATATAGGACCGCAAAAGTACATGACCCCCCATCGACTTCCCCCCGAACATAATGCACACTAACTGTGAATAGTACAGGATACAATTGCAGTTTGTACAGTCATAGCACACTAATCGTGAATGTATACAAGCTACGATTCCAGTTTGGTAGAGTCATATCGAGAGCGCACATTGTGTTCAGGGAGAGATATTAGGACCTGAGCCTTGTTCTAGTCATTTAAAAAAAAAAACAGGTTGCCTGATATCACGGAAAGGCATTTCATGCTGCAGACCCCGAATTCGGGTTGCTAGTCAAAAGAGGCCAGGTCGGCCAGATTCAGGAGGGTTAAGTCGGGTACCCCAGAGGTCCAGTCCAACCGGTACCCAGTCAAAAGTGACATCCCCGAGGCAAAACTCACATCCCAGAGGCAAAAGTCACGTCCCACAGTCAAAGGTCACATCTCACAGGCAGAGTCACGACCCACAGTCAAAGATCACGTCCCACAGACCAAAAAGCACCAGGACACCAAGGAAAACTCAAAGAGGTACCGGGCCTCAACATTCCAGAAGCAAACAGGCCGTGGGCAGCCGGTACTGGGTCCAAGTAAGCCAAGCGAAGCAGAGGCTGGGACGAGTCAAGGCCCAGTCTAAGTCAATATAGTGACTGGCCAGCCACATTTCGGACAGATTTCTCATTCACGAGGTGTGTGTAAGTGCTGCTGAGCGCTTGTGCGCTATCTGCAAGTTGGCATGCGCTAGAGCCCTGGCTGGGCAGCACTGTGCTGCTGAAGGAAGGCGGCCATAGCCGCACAGCATATCAGTAGGAGTGAGCTGAGTAGCACGCGGATGTATCCAGAGTCAAGATCTTCATGCAGAGAGAGAGTGAGGGAGAGGGAGAGAGAGAGAGCTTTGGACACATGCATGAAGAGAGAGCGAGAGAAGAAGTGAGACAGGAGAGAGAGGAAGTCACCTACCTGGATGAGGATGCTGGATATGGGTTGCTGAACTCTGGGCTGATGAGCACTGGTGACTAGAACTCCAAAACTGTTTAATATGATAATTCGTTGGAATAACAAAGCTGCGCTAATCTGGACTTCGCATCTCTGGTCTCCAGTATGCATTTCGTGTAATCTCTCACTGTGTATGTGCTTGAGGTGACGAGCAATGTGGTTCAATGCATCACCCAGGGGATTTTTTTTTTTTTTTTTTTTTTTTTTTAAACAGGGCCTTATGATCCTGGCTCCTTCTATTCTGGGGAGGGTCAGTCCGGTTCCTATTCCACTGGCAAGATTTGACATTTGCAAAGTAAACAAGCAAACAATTTTGGGGGGGCGGGAGAGGGAGAGGGGGTGAGAAAAGAAGGGGAAAAAAGGTTAAAAAAAACAGATACAGAAAACCAAAACGAAATCAAGTCATTAGTCAGCTTTGCCTCGAAAATTGCAAAGACGACTGTTAGATTCATGTGGACGACTGCTATAGATCAGGAGGTGGTCATTTTTTTTCTCTTCAGGAGGTGATCTTTTGTTCTAAGACTTTGGGAGGGGAAACAGAAAACAGAAAAGATCAGGAGGTCATAGGAATCAGCAGGTCCAGGTGTCCACATACATCTGCAAAAGTTCGGTCCAATCAACAGAAAAGGTTGATCGTCGTCGTCATCCAAGGAGGAGGAGAAGGACGTAGTAGTAGTTTTTTCAGCGCTACCCCCTGTGGCAGGTTTGGAAAAACAGACAGGCTTGGGGATACGGACCGATCCCGGAGGTTGCACCACTGTAAAAGGGGGTGCACAGTTGGCCCTGTGGCCTCTGTGGCTTTCACACAGCCTGGAAGGTGCTACCCCACCCACAACAATTCGGCAAGTCAGGGTCGACAACGCATTTGGTTTGGAAAATTAGGCTCGGTAAGAGGGTTGGTTTAACTCATGTTTTGAACGTTTCTGAAGCTCATGACTTGACAGCTTGACAGCTCCAAGCCTCCAACACACCACAGTCAGTCTGTAAGCAACCATCGCACACACCTTTATTCACCTGGTCTCAATTTCGCACCTGGTTTGTTCTGTACGCCCGGTTACTCTTTCTTCTTTCCCCCAAACAGAGGGTGGTAAACCCCTTTGAACACCACTTGGCACTGAACCTCTTGATCACCTTAGCAGGGTTATCACCAGATTCACTAACCCTGGTTGTTGAAATGTTACACTCAGCATAACTGCAAACAACAACTTAGGTTCTCTCTTCATCTATGCAACCTGATTCCAGCATTCAATGCATCAAAACAGTAGGGCAGGGGTAGAGGTAGGGTGGGGTGGGGTAGGGTAGGGTAGGGTAGGGTAGGGTAGGGTAGGGTAAGGTAAGGTAAGGTAAGGAAGGGTAGGATAGGGTAGGGTAAGGTAGGGTAGGCTAGGGTAGCGTGGGGTAGGGTAGGGTAGGGTAGGGTAGGGTAGGATAGGGTAGGGTAAGGTAGGGTAGGCTAGGGTAGCGTGGGGTAGGGTAGGGTAGGGTAGGGTAGGGTAGGGTCGAGTCGAATCGGGTAGGGTAGGGTAGGGTAGCGTAGCGTATGATAGAGGGGGTAAAGCACCCACCTGATGCGTCATATTCGAATACCCACAGGGGGTCACCATGCAACCTCCAAGAGGATCACCCATTGCTGCACAGATGATGCATTCCATGGCAGAAAAATGTTGTCTTTTTCAGTGGCGAGAACTCAAGACGAAAAGCACTCGCAACCAGATCCAGCAGAGAATACAAAACAATAGCCAGATGGGGAAGGGGGAGGGGGGACCAATGAAAGAAGTGTTGGGGGCATTCCAGGTCTGAACAAAGTAGAGTGCTATTCAAATGTTGCAATGGACCCAGTTCTCAAATGCTCCCCTCTCAACATTATGCATGAACTGTTAGAATACAGACTGACGAGTCCAGATACTCTCAGATGAACAGAATAAAAGCACCCTGAATTGCCTGGGGCCAGTCCATTGATGATATCAAAAGGCCACCGCCCGTGTTTTTTTTTTCAATTTGGAGGGGAAACCCAGAAAAGTCTGTAAGAAGCACATGCAAGGGGCACATAGTGCATGCGAAATCCATATTACATACTACATAATCACACACAGGCTTTGCTCCTCTATACCTAAGTCAAAAATTGCAGGGAAGAAACAGAAAAGTATATGCCAAAAGCACATACAAGGGATTCATACTACATAATACCGTCTTCACCCAAATAGAACGCCTGGTCATTATAAGACGTATTTGGGGCATCTTTCAGTCCAGGTACAGCGATAATGACCGGGTTTTCTATCCGGGTGAACATGGTAGTACATAGCACATACTTGAACAGTGTCTTTGCTCTCATACCTGAGTCAAAACCCGCAGATACAAGGACGATATCAGGCTCGTACGCACGAGCTATCGGCATCAGCACTTGGTCCCACGCCGCAAGATAATCGGCATCACCAAAGCCTCCCTTTGGCCAAGGCACATTTACATTATAACCCGCTCCCGGGCCTTCGCCAACCTTATTGAAGTCCGCATCTTCCAAGCAAGGGTAGAACATCCCAAAGTCGTACCTTCCTTGCCATGTTCGCACACCAGCGGACGGTCATTGATTCAAAAGTTAAAACACAATAGAGTCGAATAAAGTTCAATAAACACAATATCAGGAAAAGATTCCTGAGAACAGGGGCCAGGGGGAAACAATTGGGGTGGAAGAAAAAAGAAAAGAAACACTCCCATAGAGCTTTTCTCTTCTTGTCACAAATTGTGCAAAGAACTACGCGAATGACTGTCATCCAATGACCCGCAGAATTGCAGTCTGAGATTTCTGTGTTTTTCTGTTGGCCTGATTTCCTGAGATTTCCAAGTCTGATTCTGTTTTGCTGTGTTGCCTTTGTGTGCTACCTAATGCTTGCTGAGTCTGAGTCTGTGTCCATGTGCTAACGCTGTTCGCGAGCTGTCCGTGTGTGTTCAGGGACGGTTAGAACAGTAGATAGGCGTAGTTACGGGGGTAGGACCGAAATTGGGACATTGGACAGACCTAGCGCATACTAGGACGGACAGGAACAAATGGAGAATTTGTTAGGAACCAGGTAGGGGTAATCTAGTACAATTGGTAGGCCTAGAAATATCCGGTAGCTTTCCAGTAGGTCAGGATGGTCCAGGGCCCGAATGTAGTTTAGACATCAAGCAAAATTGCGGTCCTGCAGGTGAATTATACACTGCAATGATGTTATCTTAAACCACCACTACCTCCAAGCCTATTTTTGCCAGCTGCGTGCCAAGCTTTTGCTGAAGCGCCAGCGCAACCTATTTCGTTTTGTTTTGACTGGCGCCGCCAGCCATTTTGGCCCGGTGGCGCCCGTCCTCCGCCGGCCTCCGAGGGACTTGAGATAAACCGCCACGATGTGCCACGATGTTCTGGTCAGTTTAATATCTTATCCGTGGACCATCAGGCCATAATGAAAGGAAAAAGAAATGGAAAAAAATGACGCTATAATCAGGTGAGGCTACACTCCTGGGAAATTTCTGCGACCAAAGCCATTCCCCTGGGTCAAATTCGAGGGCTACAATGCTGTGTCGTGGGTTGAAAACTAACCGGGGTTTACGGGTGGACACTCGTACCTTCCTCCGTCGGAACGACTCGGTTATTTCTGATTCCGGGATTTAAGATAAACCGCCACGACCTTTCAGAGTGGACGGAGGAAGGTACGAGTGTCCACCCGCAAATCCCGGAATCAGAAATAACCGAGTTGTTCCGACGGAGGAAGGCACGAGTGTCCACCCGTAAACCCCGGTTAGTTTTCAACCCACAACACAGCATTGTAGCCCTCGAATTTGACCCAGGGGAATGGCTTTGGTCGCAGAAATTTCCCAGGAGTGTAGCCTCACCTGATTATAGCATCATTTTTTTTCCTTTCTTTTTTCCTTTCATTATGTATGGCCTGATGGTCCACGGATAAGATATTAAACTGACCAGAGCAGATACTACGCTTGATCTTAGCCAAGAGGCTGAGAAAGGTATCACCTTTGGTTACTGGCTAGGCTTATCACGAGCAAGGTTGGGGCGGTGTACGGTCATTATTGATGTATGTATTGAGATTGAAAGATACCCCAAATACAGCAATAGTGACTATGCGTTGTATTCGGGTGAAGAAGGTAGGCCGCAAAACTGATGACCCCAGCCCAAAGATCAGCAAGAGATGGACATAATTCTGAACCTGAACCCAGACGACAAGGTCATGATCACACGGCCCAAATACCAGACCACGAAACCGCCGAAACTTCGCAGTCTGCGATGGCTGATTGCCTATGCCGTCCTCCCTGTCAATCAATGGCTTCACAAAAAAAAGAAAATGTTCAGATCCCAACAGCTCTGAGATCTCCATGATGTGCACAGACAACTTACCAGAAAATATCATTCACTGCCTCCTAAGACACTGCTCCATAACCAGCTAGTTGCTTCGCCAATGAAGGATTTCGTGCAAGAGAACTAATCAAAGAACTAAACATGTTTCCAATACCTACAGGGGCTCCACCTAATGTGATTGTTGCACAGCCCACTCCAATTAATTTTGCACCTTCTAACATAGCCAACACAATGACCATTTATCATGGATTACCCAAATCGCCCATGTTGTCGAAATGAAAGCGGCACAGACTCGCCACCACTGGAGCAACCTGGTTTTGGGACAGCATCAACAGATTGTGGGCTTCCGTCTTTGTCTGCCCCCCCCCACCCCCCCAACCACCACCACCACCACACCCCTTATCATCATCTTATGCTCTGTCAATTTTCTCAATCCCCCAAAAGGCAGGAAGAAGAGCTGCTTCCTCCTGCTCAGGAGAGTCACTCTGAGCATCATATGGAAGACGAGGTGCGACCAGACAATCTAAAAGGATCAAATAGCATGAGAGGAGGCCTGGTATCAGGTCATTGGCATGGTGGCAACTGAAATTCACTACAGATGGAACACAATCATACACCCAGGAAAGGGCAAACCAGACAGGTTCATGGGTAGGAACTTAGGAAGACAGGATTCTGCAAAGGTTGGCTGCTGCGGCCCAAAATCGCCACTATCAATGACAATGATTGAGGTGGAAGAAGGGGGAGGGCTCAAGGGTGAATTACACCAGACAACCTGGGATCATCACCGTGACGAACTGGTCACAAGGCGTATGGAAACTCCAAGAGAATTTCTGTGGATACCTTCAGCAAATGGTCACCCACGTTACGCTATTGCAGCCTGATCCTCCTGAAGTTCTCGACTGATGGTCCCCAGAAGACGAAAGTCTCAGCGAAGATCGAGACAAACTCCAGGAGTAAAGTGCAAACTGACAGTCAACGTCCCCCCCCCCTTCCCCCTCCCCCTCTGGGAGCAATCAACGCTGGTCAGGGTTCCTTCGGCCAGGCCGAAAGGAAATGTGGAGTGTGTCATCCTGTCTATTTCATTTTAGTTGCTGGAGTAAAGGAACTAGACTGATGGTCCCCAGCATGGCAGAATGGACATGGAACGTGGGAGTTCATTTTTTTTGCATGCACCATGCAGCGGAAATAAATGTTGGGAATAGGTTCAGAGGTAGTGGTGGTTTAAACCACTAGTACCTTGCCACTTGGAAAATAGCGGGCCCACCCACTAGTACCTTGCCGCTTGGAAAATAGCGGGCCTCCGGTGGGCCTCCGACCGTTTCAAAGGCCGAAACGAAACGACGGCCGCCGATCAGATTTATCAATGGCAGTCGTCATCGGGCCCGACCTTCCAAAAATTCAGGCGATTGGGAAAACAGCCAGTTTTCCCTATTTTCCCACGCGGGAAGGAAAAAAGAAAAAAAAGAAAAAAAAAAGGAAAGAAACCGGCAACTGGCGCGTCCCAGCCCATGTGGCTGAATCGCACACCCAGCAGCTGTCGATAAACAGACCTGAGTTCGAATTGTATGCAATGATTGCAATCAGGTGAATAAAGTCATAACTCTGACATACCTGGGGCTGGTCAGTTAACGATGATACCTCAAGGTTGTCACCCCTTTCTACAAAGAAAGAACCAAAAAGGAGGAGGAAACAGAAAGAAAGTTGAAACCAGCAACTGGAGATTTTTAGCTATCCCCCAGCAAAATCCAGGCCAACCCTAGAGAAGGTCGCAGCCTGAGACAAACTGGGCCCCAACGCAGCACGCCCAGGTGACTACCCCGTAGGCCATCAGTCGCGACTCAGACCAGGCATGTACCTGAGCCAGGATCCAGGCCGGTAGGGATCCAGGCTGGTAGGGACTACCTACAGGTAGACCCGGAGCTCGACCTTGGATGAGGCAAAAGCAAGGAGGCCAAGGGTGTATGCACATTGGGAAGCGGGCAGTATCATGCAGCAGCATTGAGAGAGCGCTGCTTGCAGTCAGTGCCCGAGCAGGGAAAGCAGCCTGGTGGTAGCTGCTGGCACATGTGCTGCCATAGCTGGGTGAGATTAGCGAGATGTGGGGACAAGGGTGGCGAGTGATCAATTTGGTCAGGGAAGGAGAGTGGCAGTGGGAACTGGCGGATACCCAATCTGTCTCCGAGATCACCTACGCGTTCAGAGAACTACAGACTCTTCGGCGGCACCTGGTCAGAGGAGGGTGGAGAGAGTGTGAGAGGTAGCAGGCGAGTGTGTGTAAGTTCTGTAGGAGAGTATTGTGTAGGAGGTCCAAGGAGGACACATCATAGCTACGGATACTACTCTGTTGTTGCATCAGTTGTCGGAGGCACGAGGTGGGCTTTCATTGTCAAGAGTCTTCAGTGTTCAGAGTGTTCTTGTGTGCTCTTGGCTTTGTCATTCTGCTTTCAACTCCGCTTACTGATGACTGGTTTTCAATGAGCTCCTCCTCCTGCACCTTGAAATCTTTGTGTTCTCAACTTCTCATATGCTGGTTCTTTGCACCACGAAAAAATGTACTGAAACTTCAAAGTTTTCCTGAATTTACTCCAGACTCTTGGGCAGATACACACACAAAGAACAACAACACAATGCTTTTGCATTCAGAAGTTCTTCTGAATGTATATTCCAGACTCTTGGGCAGATACAGACACAGAGAACAACAACACAATGCTTTTCCAGAGACATCTGAGCAGTGTAGCAGGCACAATCCGCTTACATTTCAATTTTTTTAACTCTTCTGCAACGGAATGTCTGTGGAGACCGCAGCTGTCCATCCTGATCAAACGAAACAGCTCAAACACTTCTTCTGAAGAGGGAGAGGAGGGAGTGATGCATTCAGCATCAGATAAAAAAAAGTCGAAAAAAAATAAAATCAAACCTACTCTGAACCCCGAAATACCCCTCCTGAAGCCCCTGACCTAACTGATCGATCGGAACAACTGGTGGAAAGTTGGAAATACAGAAGTGCGCCATCTGCTGCACTTGAGGAATTGCATTTTCGGTAACCGCTTGGAGATGGACACCCTCTCGTGCTGAAGTCCCCGAAAAACACCCTAGAACCATGAGAACCAGCTCTTATTGATGACGCATCCCGCTTTTTTTCCTTAATTGTAACAAAGGACCTTATGGTCATTAGCTCCTATCCCTTTTGCTCTCACAGTTCGTATATATATTCCTACTGGAAATCGAAATCAAATGAGCTTTTGCCCTTTTGCTCCACACGAGATTTCTGTTCTCGCTGAGCTCATCTAACGACACCTGCGTTATCTTTTAACAGATGTGTCGCCCCAGCCAAACATCCCAGCCAAACTTTTTTCACTTCCTGAATTGAAGGAAGACATCGGCAGGCCAGGTAGAGGCTCGAAGGAGCCTCAGTACTGATGCAGGTGGTCGTTTCGAAAACGGAACGAGCGACCAGAGAGTACAAAAAAGAATAGAAAATACGAAGAAAAAGAAAGCATAGAAGAGACAAAAAACAAAAAAGGAGAGAGAATGAACTCCCTCTCAGAATGGCGCGGGAAGCGGGCAGCAGTTTCAGAAAAGAGGCAGCTCGTTGAACGAGCATCAACTGCCTTACTATCCCCATGTGCCAACATCGAGTCAATATCGCGCCGGGAAGCGGACGGATACAGAGAAGATTGGTGGCACTGAGCAAGGATGACACACGTAAATCAAGAAATTGTCCAAATTAGGGAAACGAAAAAAAAAAAAGATACAGTTTGACACTCTGTCGTTTGTGCATGTGGTGTCGAACCCGCCTCGCTGCCTTACTATTCCGCGTATTCCAAGAAAACGGAATGAAGATTCCAATGGAAGATGGCCAGATACAGAGATAGCATGGCCCTTGCACGGAGCAAGAATGACGAGAAATGGACAAATTAGAATCAGAAAAAAAAAGGAAAGATACTGCTGGATACATTTTGCCGTTTGTGCAGGTCTGCAGCAGGGAGACTGCTCGTCGAGCGGCCCTTGCTGCCTTACTATCCCCCCCCCCCAACAAAAAGGGCAAGAATATTCAGCTGGTAGATGACCCAGTACATAGAACATCAGCATGGCACTAACTAAGGATGCCACACATAAATTGAGAAATGGCCTTGCGGTACCACTCACCACGTGCAAATTGTGAGTGAACCTTCTACAGGAACATGGAAAGATACACTGCCAACATTTTTGTTTGCTGTGCATGGCATGGCCCGTGGTAATGGAAGAAACCGATCGTTCTTTGCCATGATTGTCGCCTTCTGTGCTGGCGCTGCCTGGTTGAGTGAGGACTCTTTCTCGTAGTGGCAGTCGTGCATAGGGGTTTACAAAAGAGTCGGGGGGAAAAAAAAGACGAACAGAAAATGAAAAAAAGAAGAATCCCCCTTCCCTCCCCCCAAAAAAATAGAAAAGAAGAAGGGAAAAAAAAAAGAACCACTCTATGTTAGAGTACCGGTCCCCGCATTGAAGGACCGGTCTGCCACTGTATCTTTCCTTTTCACCAGCTGCATCAACAGGAAACAAAGAGGTTCGGTGGCTTGCAAAATATATATATATATATATTAATTCTATTATTAACTTAAAGGTTGGGAGGAGTGCTTCGGAAGGTACCGGTGGTTTAAAGGGGTAAGAGAGCAACCTCCTTAAATGGGTTCCTGGTGTGAAGGCTCATCTATTCGTGTGGAGCAGCACCTGCTGGAAAACGGGTCGAGCGTCCCATAATACAGAATTTTAACAAAGAGAACTCATCCTCTTATCTAGGCTAATTGTCATTTATCCATTAACAGAGAGCACTTCCTGTGAGATTGACCCAAGTGTTGCCAACGAATGGAATGCTTCAACTTCTAACCTTTGAATGATGCCCATAAAAGGTCATCCTGTCCCCATTGCTTTTTTTCTTGGTTCCTGTTTTTGCTTTCTCGATACCGCCGGATGCACACTGTCATTAGAGCAGAGGGTCAGTTGCTGAAAGAATGTACAGCATACCTATGGACAGAGAAGTAAAGCACCTGCGGGTCCTGCCAGAACATATGCTGCGTGCCATTCCCGTGATGAACGTCCCAGTCAACAATTAGAACCTTCTTAATTCCAAGCTTAGGCTGCACAGTACAGGTGCCACAAAAGGTCATCATAACACCCAGTTAAAAGATAGTTGGAGTCCCCCTTCGACACAAAATTTAGTTTAAATTAACAAAAGATTCAGAAGGGAAAAAAAGGATATGAAAAACAATGTCCAAGAGCATGTTCATGCAGTGATAAATGGTAGTTAAACCATCAGCGCCCCCGCGCCCCCCGCCCCCCCTCCCTCCCCCCCCCCTCGGCGCGGAAGCGAAGTTACCGGACTGTCACGTGCTTTCCCAAGCCCAGAGCACGAAGCCAAAGGAATTTTCCGCCTACCGGTAGAAGCAGGGAGTAAAAGTATGCAAACTTTTCCCTCGGGACATCCGTTAAAATTGGAACGATACGGAGAAGGGTAGATTAGCAAATGGCCCCTGCACAAGGATGCCACGCACGAATCAAGAAATGGTCCAAATTTAAAATAAAATAAAAATGCAAACTTTTGCCACCACAATTTATCTTTTCTTCAAGTTCTTTTGCCTGTCCAGAAACTGGTTCTTTTTCCTAACGTTTTTTCCCGAAAAGATCAACACCCAATCTACACCCCTGAGTTTGTGCAGAATTTTTAACCAACAATTCTCAGCACAAAAAACTCTCAAAGTCAGCGCACTCAACAATTCTGAGCACGAAAAATAGCCAAAATCAGCGCACTTAAAATTCCACACAGAATACCTTTCTCGAACTTTTGGCTAAAAATAGATCGTGTAGTATCTGTTGATTTTGTTCTGATCAGTTTAATATCTAATCCGTGGCCCATTGGACCATTAAAAAAAAAAATAATAATTAAAAAAAAAAAAAATTGACACAGTGCCGTGCCCCCCTCCCCCACAGATGGATAGGCCGACCCATCCACTGACCAGTGCGTATACCACCGCGCCCTTTGGACTGCAGCGGGGGGATTGGTGGTTTAACCAATACGCCAGGCCTGCTCCACGTGCTATTTCCTCCAGGTATACTCCACGAGTGCACGTATATTCCCAACAAGATATCTACACATGATTCTCTTTTAGGACCTAATCAAGATGATAGTAATCACTGATCAGAAAAACGTTAAAAAAAAACGCAAAGAGAGGCTTCTGTAGTATTGGAGAAAAAATATTTCTGGACTCGAAGAAATAAAAAATGAGTTTAAAGTTTAAACTTTAAAGTTTAAAGCCTTAAATTATTAGCACACTTTTAGTAGAATGAACCAACTTGTTGGTTTTGAACTTTTGATTTACCTGATATTCAATGTGCGAGATTTGCTGAACGAACTCGTAGAGAAACCAAGCCTGATTGTATTATTGAATGCTGAAGATAAAAACGCAAAAAATCAAACGGGATTGCGAAAGACACCAGAGTGACCAGACATAAAACACGTGCCAGTATCGTTGTTTTGGCCCCACCAGAAGAACGGCACTGCCTAACCTCATCTCCTCTCCTCCAACTGTCGGAGAAGGCAAACCAACAGACAAACCACAAGAACACTGCTTCTTCCCCCCATCCTTCATTTCCCCATTCCTCCTACCCCTACTCCACTGCCTCCTTTCAAATGCATCACCTCCCCCCTTCCCACCCCCCCCTCCAACCACCCCTCCTCCGCCTGAAGACCGGAACCACGAGCCTCTCTCCCTCCACTAACTGTAGGAAATGAAGGCAAGCGATTCCACCCACTTCAGCCCTGCCCTTCCTCCACTGACTGAAAAGGGATAAGACGGGGTAAGGGGTACAAGGAAGAGGAGGAGGAGGAGGAGGAGGAGGAGAGGGAGGGAGTGGAGGAGGAGGAGGAAGACGTGGAGGAGGAACAGGGGGAGGAGAAGGGGGGAGAGGAGGAGAAGCCAGAGGAGACAGAAGCATTGATGAGCGCATTAGCCTCCCTTCCCCTTCCTGAGATCAAGAGAGTCATCACTATGAAATTATGAATTATAAATGACGCCGGGTTCATCTCTTCCGAGAGATAAGCTAATAGAGTGCAGCTCTTCATGAAGGGCATCTTTTCAAGACTGATCATTTATAAGTCGTAGTGATGACACAGAGAAGAAACCTCCCGAAGAAGAAATCAAGCGGCGATGATGGTGCTGCTTCTGGCAAAAAGCCCACAGTCGCTGCCACTCTCACGAACCTGATGGAGACTTCGGCGAATGTCCACGAAAGTGACAGGATCTACCACTGACCGCGAGCACACACCCCCAGCCATTGTCATTTAAAACGCATCCTATCGCTGATGATGGTAACGAGCATACCACAGAAGACTACTTTGCCTGAACTTCACGGAAGTTCGCACGGGGCCACAACGAGATGTTGGCGCAACTCGCTATGCCGATGGATTGTTCTGTGCAAAACAAGGCGGATAACAAGCTCAACATTCCCGCCGCCCTATTCAGCGGGCAATAGGCGCGAGCCTGTAGCACTATTGCTACCTGGTTGGGATTGTGTAATGCACACAATATGGTGCGCGTTTTGGAAAAAGAGAAAGTTGGTACAATGTCTTTTGATTCTTTGAACTGTTTTCTATCTTAGATACCGACCCTTCTCCTTCGTGCCCTTAACTTAATCAGAGCGTGGAACACTCCTACATGGAAGTCCGCCGATTGTACCATGAGTTTGAACTTTGAAGCTTGATTTTATGCTTCCTTACGTTCAATTGTTACACGATGACTGACCTTGAGAGAGGGTTTTGAACCTTTGATTAACCTCCATCCCACCAGTACTGCCGGGGTTCGCCACAGCATGAGGAAGACTTGTTGAAAATTTGACCCAGGTCTGGGATTGACAAGTGGATGTGCACCAGTTATTTTCAGGACTGAAAAACAGCCGTGCACGTTTCCATCAAGATTATGAAAAACTCACTTGAGAAACTCGCAAAGTCGCAGTCTAACTCACATGCTACCAGACAGCATGTGCGTTAACGGTTTAGGGTTTAGGGTTTAGGGTTTAGCGTTTAGGGTTCTCGGTTCTGGGTTTTTGGTTTTCAGTTTTTGGTTTTGGATTTTTGGAGAACCTGGCTGATCTCCTATATAGCAAATGACACCCCTGTGCTACAGAAGAACAGGTCTGTATCGTCTTGCATTCACGATTGCATGCATTGTGATGATCATGATGATGACGTCCCTTCAGATCACTGTCTATTACATTTACATAAATGTCTAGAAATGCACTTTGTGGAAATTGAGAATTTGAAAGGATTCTCGTGCTGAAGTCCCTGAAAAAGTCACCCTGATTATTCACTTCATGAGCGTACTGTGACTTTGGAAAGGTGAAGCTTGGGTTACCAAAGACATAATAAAAACATGTTTCAAAAACTGGTTTCATTTTTCTTTTTTCCTTCTTCATATAGCCCAGGCACAACTGGTTTCCTAAACACATGGGTTCCGGTAAGGATGTACAGATCACAGTGAAATGACAGCAGCAATAAAACTGATCACATGCTTTTCCATTGCCCAAAACACTGGTCAAACTTGCTGTGTTTTCTACCTTTCTTTTTCTTTCACACAACACACACACACACACACACACACACACACACACACACACAAACACACACACACACACACACACACACACACACACACACACAAACACACACACACACACACACACACACAGCCCAATCAATGGCATCGGTCCAGTTGCTTGTCCCATCTATTCTGGGGGCCATTAGTCTAGTTGCTTATCACCGCCAAGCATGGAAAGAAAGAGAGAAGATGTGGAAAGGAGTGGGTGTACCCATGACCAAGGAAGGTCAAGGTCCAGATGGGACTGCCTGAGTGGACCCAATGGAAGCGAAACACAGAGACTGCAAACAGTAAGAAGGAGACGTCACGTCCACCAAGCATTCACTGTCCGCGCCAATCCTACCGCTCTCTTATGTATACAGTAGCTACATTCACGGCCCTGTAACCCAATTACAAGTGTTCACGTTATCGACACCTTCGACCATCTATAGACACTTACCTACTCTAACATGCTGGTAGGTTTCAGAGGTCAAATGCCTCCATTTTGTCAAAAGTTTTGAGAATGCAACAATCCATGAGGCAGGTGCGAGCATGTGTGTACTTGATGGATAGCATGTCTTGTCACAACATGTGGTACCACCTTCCCAAGGATGCAATATATACTATACAGTTATTATGCCGGTATTTGGGGCAACTATCAGTCTAGATGCAGCGATAATTCTCCATGTGTTCTATTCAGGGTAGGACGGTAGTCGTTAGTGACATGAAATCGGACTCCCATAAGACATATTGCAGATCATGATCATAGCCCCCAAGAAGGACAAACCCAGCTCAAACCCTGAGTTGTGAGGTCCTAGTCAGACTATTTTGCTTACCTCCCCCTCGCCCCCCTCCTCCCTCTCTAACAGAAGTGTCCACCCCAATCCATAACCATGATAGACAGTTTTTCAAAATGCAAACGTCATTTTTTCAAAAGACTTTTCTGCAAGGACGTGTGGCACAATTTCTACCTCGTGATTATCGAAACTTCAAACTCACCTCAACAGTAGCTGACATGGGCTGAACAATGAGATGTGTGTCTGTGTGTCTGTGTGTGAGTAGAGATTCCACATCTCTCCCTAGTTCGTACAATTATTTTTCCTGCAATGTTTTTTTTTTTCCCTCCCATCCCCTCAAAATTTTTCCCACTCTGCTACACATCAGAATCACCACACAAGCAGAAAGTACAAGCTAAACAACAGAGCCTTTGAAAGAAGAAGAATGGTACAACACCAGACCTTGCAGTGAAGAAGAACATGGGCAGCGACCGCGACATTATTGAAGAGACAGAACCCCATCGCTGCATCGGCTTCTGCATGATGACCTGGCGGCCTAACGATTGCAATTCCCGATTTCAATTCTCCAGAGGCAACCCTTTCTGCAAGCTGGATGCAAGGCACAGCATCACAAACATGGGTGGGCAAACACACACACACACACACACACACACACACACACTGTCACACACACACCAACAAACAAAATGAACAGAAAATGGACAAAATGACAGGAGATATCCCAACACAGTAAATCGCTCAGGAACTGATTCCTATTTCAATACAATAATTGCAATTCGATTATCTTACGATTCGATCCGCCCAGATGTATCTGCTCCATGTCAAGTCCAGTTATACATGTACAGTGTCGAGCAGTAAAGCAAGGCCCTTGGTCGCCTGCCTGTACCCTTGCCCGCATGTCTGATCATTGCCCTGTTTTTGTATGGGCGTTGCCCGCACTGCCCGCAATGGCGGGCTCTAAGCTAGTTTCAATGATACAACATGGCATGACAAAGCATGACAAACGGCTTCGCAGTGTTCACTAGTCATCCTCTCCCACAAAACAGAATCAAAATGCTCAAATCGTCTAGCTTTCCCGGGACACTCTGCAAATGCTCAAAGCAATGAAAGCATACAAATGCCACCTGCAGCCCGAAAGTGTCGTTCTCTTTGTTCACTGCGAACTTATCTTTTCTTTCCGAAAATTACAATCATGGCATGAAATGCACAGACAACAGGTTGTCCTCCTTTTGGATAATACAACCATAGCGCTTTTCTTTCGGATCAAATCATAGCAATAACCACCATCGCACTTTTGCTTCTCGATAATGATAATCATGGCACTTTTTCTTTTGGAGAATGATAATCATGGCACTTTTTCTTTTGGAGAATGATAATCATGGCACTCTCTCCTTCTGGATAATGACAATCATGGCTTTCTTCTTTTGGATAATGCTAATGATGGCATTTCTTTCTTGTGGATAACACTTTTAATATTATGGATAATGACAATCATTGCACTTTTCATTTTTGGATAATGAAGGCAATCATGTCACTTTCCTTTTTGATAATGAAGACGATCATGGCACTTTCCTTTCGGATCATGAGAATTATGACATGTCAGCGCGTTGCATTTGGTCCTCGACTCTTTGCTTTGAAAACCCCACATAATTTTGAGTCTTTTTTTTTTCTTCCCAAAAGTGGGCAGCATCTAACATTTTTTTAATCCAGCTGATTCCATCGTGAACCAACATCCACATGTGTTGAGCATTCAGCCGCAATGCACTCTCCACGATACGTAATGCCTCGCACAGTGTGCAACTTCTGTTCAGACTATCTTTTGTTCTTCCTTTCGCTTCCTTTTTCCCACCCACGGTATCACTCTATGCTTTCCAACCAGATTTCTCTTTTTTCCGGTGGCTTTTGCCATTTTCAGCACTTTTCCGCTGGCTTACCTCCACCGTTGATCCCGCTGACAGCAATGCACATCCCGAGGATCCCTCGTTGAAGTAGATGGAATTGTATTTCATTGAGAGTTGCAGCCTCTCCATATCTCCGTACTCCGCCCCGCTGAGACTTGTCATCAGCTTTGTATGCCCTGCAGTATGCACAGTGTGAAGCTCTTCACTGGTGGCCGGCCTAGCAGGGACACGCACGCATCTACGGTAAACGAGTTTACAGCCACAACAGACACATACAATTCAACACTAGTAAGCTATCAATTCCCCCGTTCCCCCGCCCCACAAAAAAAAGGGAGAAAAATGAAGCATTGTAGCTTGTCCATAAGATGTCAATCCTATAATCACCCCATTCAATTCCACATAAAACCACAAGAAGCATTTATGGCTTGTCCTTGCATTGTATTTTGTCCATAAGATGCCAGTCCTACTACCACCCTTGGAACATTTCAGGAAGTGTAGTTCTCACACTGTTTCTAGAATAGTATGCATTACCTCAACACTCCAGCAATTCATATGAGATGTCCGGATGTCCAATTGCTGCACTTTGTGCCTGAGGCTCACAAGAGTGTTTTCCTTCGGCCTGGAAGCCTCCATCGACTTCATAGAGGTGCCACATAAAACCACAAGAAGCATTTCTCGCTTGTCCATTCATTGTACCTCGGGGCTTATGCGGAACTGAATGGGGTTGCAGCCCGAGCCTCTTTGTTTCCGATGCTCGAGTTTGCTGCCCCTGCACTACCAAATCATCACGGGATGAGGGCCTACTGAGGGACACCAGCCTTTTTTGGCCCCATAGGCCGAGCCTGACCGCAGCCGGACCGTTCAGATCCCCATCAGTACCCACTAGCCTTTTTTCCTGAACCTACGGAGGTGGGCCATGCTGAAAAAAAGGTGGCCTGTTGGAACTTGGAACTCATAAAGGCATCTGATCCCAATTTCCTTATACCCATCCACTGTCAATTAGAGCAGTACTGGCCCACTGCACTCTCTCTCTCTCTCTCTCTCTCTCTCTCTCTCTCTCCACCCCCACCTGACTGCAGCCAGTACAGTACTGCTTGCAACAGGGTGGAAACAAAGGAGGGCTCCCCAGTTGGAGTAATAGTCCACAGGAAAAAGGGGGAAACAGAAAGAAAAGAGTCCAAACAACTGCTTTGCCGAGGTCACCATCAGGCTAGATTAAATCACCCCGCATCAGGCTAGAATTGCCGCTAGATGTTATGATCCGGGGATCGTACTCAAATGCAAACAACTTCAAAGATCAGTCTCACACATGCATGCAACGTAGCTCAACCAACCAACAGCTCAAACCAGATGAAACTTGATTTCAACTTCAAAGAATCTCCATCGTGACAACAACAAATTTCCCGAATCATAGTAAACCAAGGATCTCAGAGCTCATAGTCCCTGTCTTGACACCCCACAGAGTAACACCCTTGAACAAATGCTCACAATCAAACACACACACACACACACACACACACACACACACACACATTAGCCGCCTCTACTCCCTGCTTCACTTCTCCACGCTTTAGATGCACCAAGTTTACCAATCGGGTTGCTGCCTGATGGGACTCCGGTACCCTCACTGTTTGGGTCAGCACCACGCCTGAACCGGTTTGCTGGGCTGGGACCGCCAAGGGCAAACCCGCAAAAATGATGAAAAATAGGAATTCGAACAAATGACCCTGAATCATTTCATAGATTCTTTCTTCTTTTCCCAAAAAATATGTTTTACAGTTAAACCAGAAACCCGCGAGAACCAGGCCCGGCATCCCTTACACGTCGTAAAGCAGCCTTGAGACAAGAGAGGCAACTCCAGCCAAGCTCAAACCAGGGCTGCAGATCACAAAAAGAGAAGCGAAAATCTCAATTCTGGCAAAGCCTCATCACCAGAAGATACAGGCACCAATCCAAAAGCTCCCTAGTGGCTCAAAAACAGTCGCCGAGCTTTCGGGGTATGGCCCCTCTTCCGCACCCGCAAAGTCCAATCAGTGATAACTGCCTGTTTGATGGAACGCTTTACCTCGGCGAAAATCACAAGGGGGGTGAGGCGCTCCCCACACCTCATTGCCGCAGTTCGCAGTGTCCACAGAGCCCACAAGATAGTGGCATGGAGAGTCTCCTTGGCATTAAGAATAACTGAGTTCTTATACTGTCTTTGAGATGCTGCACCAAGGACGCCAAAGCCGTCACACTTGTTGGCCACGCGGCATGGAGCATCCGACCCTGGGACAGATTCATGCTTCCACCGATCCCCAGAAAGGATGAGACATTCACAGTGCAAGCACACATGTTGAATATCCTCAATTCGGGTCCACGAGGGCAAGGTACACAAGGCAGTTGTTCTGACACATCTCCGGGCACACCACAGCGCAATACACAAGGCAGTTGTTCTGACACATCTCCGGGCACACCACAACGCGATAAGGACGGCGAGATGAACCACTAGCCCCAGAAAAACTGCCATGCTTGACCATTGCCAGATCCATCAAAAGTTTCCAGTACTGAGATCTTACCCCAGCTAAGCAGACGTTTCGCCAGTACCCACCCAGCACCTAGACGAGGGTGTGAAAACCCACGCAAACAGCACACCCATATAATGCGACCAGTTTCTCCGGTTGACTTGGGCGCAACCAAACCCAGTCCCAAAAATCAACGGGCAAGTTATCAGCGGGCACAGAAAAAGAAGTAGGTTTAATAGGGTGCAAACTGTTCTCGTATTCGAGAACACAGACGGACGTCAGGAGGTCAGCGAACGGAAGGTCCAAAGGTTGAGGGGCAAGCTGCCATTCCTGACCAAGCCAAACAGCAGCTTCTGAGACCTCCCAACAACCAGTTTGAAGATTAGCAGGGTCCAAATCATTTAACAATTTCTATATGTGAGTATGGGATATCAGGTTGAATTCTGACTGGGATATCAGGTTGAATTCTCAGTCAGAATCATCATAGCTAACATTCATGGCTCAGTTACAATGCCTATCAGGGTTGAGACCCCCTCAATTTCACAACACCTCAAGAGGCTTAAACGCTTAATATACCCGTCATACCAGAAGCCATGACATAACATCTACAATAACTTCCATAATAATCTCAAATTACCTGGGGCCGGTCACCAGTGGACATATCTCAAGACTGCAACCCTTTTTTTTCAGAAAAAAAAAAAGAGAATGTACCAGTGCTGGGAGTGTTTGTACCAGACTGCTTGCATGGGACTGGAGTCTTCCCCCGAACACGATGTACACTCATCATGACTGCATCTCATCATGACTGTATCAGACAGTAAAAGGAATGGCTTGATGAAAGAACAACAGGTGATGCCTCCGCTTGTATACATTCATGATCACTGTCCATTCTATTTGGGGGACGCCTGTAATCCCAGCTCGCAACACCTGTGGCCACGATTCAGGAATGGCTTGATGAAAGAACAACAGGTGTTGCCTCTGATTCCACAATCCACTTAGTCGTCCCATCATTTGACTGAAAAGTAAGGTTTCCAATCAGCCGCATCGATGTCCCAGACGTCCACAACAGTACTTTTCTTCTAAATACTGGAAAAGGGCACAGCAGCCCCGTGCAATCACGAAAACCTACAAATAGCATGTGCACCACAGCACGACACAAGATTAGACAGCCGCGGCAGGGGGTGGCCTCGGCACCCATAGCTGCCTGGTACCTGGCCATCCTGCAGTCCAGGTGCATGCACAACACAAGATTAGACAGCCGTGGCAGGGGGGGGCCTCGGCACCCATAGCTGCCTGGTACCTGGCCATCCTGCAGTCCAGATGCATAACTCCCTGCACCCCACTTCTTGGGAAGTTTTCCAGGGCTACAGAGGTGCTTTTACCAAAAACAAACATGAATATGGCATTTCTCAAATGAACAATATTGATTCCGTTGATGATGATTACAGTGATGATAATGACGACCATCGCGATGAAGCTTCAGCATAGATCAGTTCGGCTTTCCTGCTATCGCTGTCCATGGTACCACGGTTTTCTTTTTTAAACACAGTTGTCTTCTCCTCATATGCGGGACAGTTGTTCTTTTGTACCTATCCTATTCTCTTCTCTCTTTTTGCCTCACATTAACTCCCGTATCTACGTCCTATCTACAAGCCCTACAATGCATTCAGGAACAACCTGTCTCTACTACGGAATCTGGGGTGCTAGGGTCTAAGGCTACGTTTTGGCACCACCTACTACCTACGAAGGGGAAGGTTAAATTTACTAGCTAGAGCTAAGCTATCCTGAGGTTATGGGTCTACACCTACCTATCTCTGCTCTGTGCAGGGAGCAGCACCTAAGCTCCTAACACCTGGCACGGGCTGGAAAGAACTGATTACTTCCACGACCAGCCAGGAGGCCCAAGCCAACAGTCTCCGCTGGTGAATCCAAAGCATCGCAGGGATCAAAAGGACAACGTTGGGTATCGAACCCACGACCTTCTCCCTTGGAACCATTTTTTTTAAATGCATATGGCATCCTTTCACAGGGCCCGTACTAATCTTCCCTGTACAGTCCCAATTTTAACGGTTGTCCCGAAGAACCCTGATACGAGTCAAAGAATATAATATACACATATACTCCTTTGACCCAGCAAGTGTGCAAATCTGTAAAACTAGTTAGCAAAAATGCAGTAACAATATCACACTATGCTGCCGCATTTTTGCACCACTCTTCAGAATATGGCAGCGGACTATTTCTGAAATTGGCAGGACGCAATTTCTGCCATCGCAAACATCAACTTCAGAGAAACGGTGGTCTACTTCATGGGAAGCTCACAAACTTCGCAGTCTAGCCCTGTAATGTTAAGGGCCTATCATATTCGCTTCGCATGAGTAAGACCAACTGCAGCACCACGCAACAGCAACCCAGCAGGTCCCAGCTCACACGCTGAGCGCCTAATGGATAGAGTTACTTTTCATAGGGGTGAAGCTATAAATGAGGTACTCGCCAGCGCTCATCATATGATTCACACACATCAAGTTCTGTCTCCCTCCTTAACTGTATTCTCTCCATCTCAGTGCTTTCTTTTTTCTGTTTTATACAATGAAGTCTCAGTCTATTCATGCCCGGCAGCATTTGCTGGGAACCAGGCCCAGCGTCCAATTATAGAAAAACCTCAACCAACCCAAGAGAAATAAGACTGGACAAGAAAGGATCCAGCACAGCATTGATTTCCCTGGGCGTCCCAGGGAATTAACTGCCTGTGATCCTGGAATGCTAACCGCCAAACCTCAAATTGACAGCCCCCAGGCCTCTCCGGACAAACATTCAGCCTGTGATGCCTGTGATGCGAAAGAAGGTCTGCCTCTTCAGCCCTGATGCAGAGTAGGTTTTTGCAAATGCAAAACGCATGGTTGGGAGGAGGAAGTTATAATCCCATGGTACCTTGCTTGGTGATATGAATCTTGGAAGGCTTTATACAATCATGCTGGATATGGGCCTAGTTGCACTACTTGCCATCCACCAACATTTTGAATGCCTCTGGAGATAAGAGTTTGTGCAGATGGATTCAAAATCTTGGTGGACGGCGAGTGGTGCAACCAGGTTCTAGGTCTCACGAACGGCTGGATTCAAAATTCAAAATCTTGGCGGATGGCGAGTGGTGCAACCAGGCCCTAGGTCTTACGAACCGCTGGAGAGAAGAGGTGACAAATGAATTTCAGCAAGGTGAGAACACGAGACCTGTGTGTCGGGACCTCTTGTTCACGTAGCGGGCTTCCAGAAGCTGTTGGGCCAGTTAACCACCAGTATTTTTTACCCTTCCCTTCGCAGGCCTGGAAATGCCCTGCGCACCAAAACAAATCCAGTATCACAGAATAGAAGCACCCCGGCGCACAGGACGCAGAGTGCCACGCGAAGAAGCCTTGGAGGTCCATCTGGAAATTTGACATACAACTGCCATTTCGTCAAAATAGACATTTCTTATTTTTTGAACGAAATTGAAACTGAGTAATTTGGCCAAAAACAGGTCCAATTTTTTGGCTCCTGAGGGTCCAGCGTTCTTAAAATGCCTGACCCCTGGATGTATCTGATCGTGAGCTAAGTCCACATACATCCAGGGGGTCAGCCGTTCTTAACCCTCAGGAGCCAAAAGTTTCGAACTGTTTTTCAGCCAAATGACTCAGTTTCAATTTCGTTCAAAAAATAAAAAATGTCCATTTTGGCACAATGGCAGTTATGCGACTTGGATTCTTTTCCTTTTGGTGAACTTGATGAACTCTCATGAAGAAAATGATTGGCTTTCCTCGAAGTTGATAGTTCTGCAAACAACCGAGGTCAAATCCACCAAACAAAATCCGCACAGAACTAGTCTAGGGCTAGTAGCTTTCGGTCACCCCTAGGTCAAAAGTCCTACCCACAGAGAGTCCGTAGGTCAGTGGGCCTGGGGTCAATGGCCAAAATAAGGTGTGCGGGGCCTCCAGAATCAATAGAAGGCCCCGGAAAGTCCTGGGAAGTCAACAGGCAGCCCCAACTCGCGCACAGAAGTCAAAGACCGCACAGAACTAGTCCTGGTAGTCCAGGTGTCGTAGTTTTTGGTCAGGCCAAAGTTTCAGGGTCAAAAGTAGCACCCACAACCTCTGACGAGGCACCAGAAATCCTTACTCCGAAAGGCCCGGGGCACAGATCAAAAGAATAAGGTGCCCAGGAACTCCAGAGTCAAAAGAAGGCCCTGGAAAGTCAAAAGTCAGGCCCAACTTGGGCACAGAAGTCAAAGAGTCAAAGAGTCAACGATTTCTCAGGAGTCGACCACGGCCACAGATCTCACACATCCGAAGGCTCTGTCCAGAAGTTTCCAAGGCCCACTGGCTCCAGCACCTAGACTGGCCACCAACAAATCTGGGCCACACAGATAGAAAAATCTCAGCCATCCAGTCAAGGAGGCAAAAGGGAGGCAGGCCACACCAAGACGGCCTGCCCCAGTCTACTCATTTTTCAATCTGCTTTGTGCTGCCTTGAGGCTGGAGTGCTCTGGAGGCAGCCAGAAAGTGTAGCAGGCATGAAACACAAAAAGTTATAACATCCAGCGGCCTACCGGTAGCTCAGTGGGTAACAAACGCAAGAGGCATTCAGGAGGTCCTGGCTTCAACTCCCATTGGTCCCATCATGACTCCCATGAATACGGTCGTGGGCATACATGGTCGCCGCCACCTGGAGAGCTCATGGGTTCAACCCCCATTGGTCTCATCAATAACCTAGTGGGTATGCTCGGCACCTAGAGATAGGCCGTAGGTCCCCCGTTCGGCATTAAGCAGTCCCTCTGCTACCGGCTGATGTCGGTTGGGAGAAGGGTAATCAGGGAGGCACGACTGGGCTACACAGATGATGCTCGGTCCCTCTGCTACCGGCTGTCCCCTGGCTGGTGTCGCCCACCAAATAGTCCCTGTGGGCCTGGGTGCAGCCAATTACTCCCTGAGGCGAGTGCATGTGGCTGCTAGGGCCCTAGGGGTTCCCTAAAGGCAATAAGGCCACCCTGTCAGACTAGACAAACGATTAAATATACATGAGCTGGTTAGTTCGATGACAATATCTCAAGGCCATCGCTCTTTCACCAAAAAAAAAAGAAGTTAATATAACGAAGTCTCTCTCCTACGTATCCAAATTCATGCCGTGAAATGAAGGCACAACTTCCAGTCTCTTGGACGGTGCGCTCTACCAGGTAGACACAGACAGCACCCTGTGCCATAGCTCAGCGTGGAGAAATACAGTTTGCGGATTGAGGGAAGATCATACTTGCACACACACACACACACACACACACACACACACACACACACACACACACGCACACACAGACACACACACCCACACACACACACACAGAGGTAGGTTTACCTGAAATACCTGGAGGTGTTACATTGCTGAAGAGACAGCGCCCTGCTTCTCAAGCCCTGCGATGCCGGTTTGACATCATCCGCCATAGAAACAGTTGACATTGGGCGTTGACCAGGTGCTTGTGCAAGAAACGTAACGTTAACTTCATCTGTAAAGGGTTACGTTGAAGAGCCTGGAGAGTGAAGGAGGGTGAAAGGACGAAGCCTGGAGGTTGAAGCCTTAGGAGGGTAGAAGAGCCGCGGAACAGTACACAGTGACTATGAGTCAATAGAAGCATTCATCCTCTCCTCTTATTCTTCTCTTCCCTTGTCTATATTTTACTCTAGTTGCTGCGTTTGAGGTGTGTATATAATTGTGCAGCCTGAGTACACGCATGGTGTGGAAATTGAGTATTTCGGTTTTCGAATTCATCACGATTAATTCAGCAAAGATTCATCAGATTCGTACATATCCCTGAAAAGGATTTCGTGATTTGTGAAGATCCTGGGCAACTTTTATTGTTAATTAATAAATACTAAAAGTGCAATTTCGG